TCCTTCCTTCCTTCCTTCCTTCCTTCCTCCTCCTCCTCCCCTTTCTCCTCCTCCTCCTCTTCTTCACTCCCTTCTGGCACTGATAATGTTCCCTAGCTGGGTAATGAAACGTCTGCAAGAAAACAACTCCCAATCCTTTGACTGGCTAGCAAATACTAACACTCTCAACTACCACAAGGCTAACACAACACAACACACACACACACACACAATCCTCAGTCCTAAAACTCATCCTTTTCTGCAGAAAGCCAGCCTTACAAGCTGACCCCACATTTCAGGACACGGAGCTGCTGGTCTCGCCTGGGTAACTCCCTCCGTCCTGTCTGCACCGCAGGCGAGATGGGGTGACTCAGCGCTGGGACACCCCCCCCCTTTCCTGCCCCTCCCTCTGCTCACTTCCTCTCCCCCTTTCCTTCCTCCTCCTCCCCCCCCCAAGGTTTTGCAGCTTCACCCTTGACCTCAGCACCCTGTTTGCTCAAGGACCCCGCTAACACGGGCAAAGGCCGTCAATGGGACCCCCAGCCGGAACACAGAAAAGCCTTAATCTTGTTTTTTCAGGCGTCCTGATTGCTAATCTCCCAGTTCGTCCTTTTCAATTTCTCCTTCGTAGGTTGTGTAAGGGGGAGGATTTGCTCTTCCTTCCCTAAGCAAAAGGCTCGGTTTCCAATTTATTTCTTTATTTGGGTTTTGCCTTTTTCTCATGGGTGGGTGGGGTGGTTTCTCTTCCCCAAACTGCCTCTTACCAGCACGATGCTTCCCCAGTCACATAAGGGCCGTCACCCTCCCAGATAACGTCCTTTTGCTCTGAGCTTTTCTAAGGAAATTTCAGGGCTTCTCGGAAATCAGTACCGTTATTATTTTTATTTTTATAACATAAGACACCTCAGGCGAAGCAGAGAGCTGGGACTTCCCCAAGGGAGGCCTCTGGCTCTGATGTCTGGTGTTCGTTTGTTTATAAGCAGTCCTCGACTTAGGACGGCAGCTGAGCCCAACATTTCCATGGCAGCTTTTAAGTCAGGTTTGCCCCCTTTCACAACCTTTCTTGCCGCCGCTGTTAAGTGAATCGCTGCCGTTGTTCATTGAGTCACCCGCTTGTTAACTGGATCTGATTTCCCCGTGGACTTTGCTTGTCAGAAGATCGCAAACTGGGACCACACGTCCCTTGGACACGGCGGCCGTCATAAATACGGGTCAGTTGCCAAGCATTTCAACTTGGATCATGTGACCAGGGAAATACTGCAGTGGTCGTAAGTGTGAAAAACGGTCGTGAGTCACTGTTTTCAGCGGCGTTGTAACGCTGGTCACTACATGAATGGCTGTAAGTCAACAACTCTTATAACAGTTGCAAGAAAAAGTATGTGAACCCCTTGGGATTACGTGGAGTTTTGCATGAATTGGTCACAAAATGTGCTCTG